GGAGTCCAGTTGTGCAGTTATGGCTCACTGCAGCCTCGAGCCCCTGGGCTTAAGCAGTCTTCCCACCTCAACCAACGGAGTAGCTGGGACTATAGGCACACACCACACCTGGCTAGTTTTTGTGTTTTTTGTAGAAACCAAAAAAAGCAATCAGTTTGCTTCAGCCTCCCCACCTGCTGGGATCACAGGCATCAGCCACCATACTTGGCCTGTTGTTGATTTTTAAGAATTCTTTGTATATGTTGGATACAAGTTCTTTATTACATAGGTGTTTTACAAATATTTTCTTCCTATCTGTGACTTGTCTCTTCGTTACTTTAATACTACGTTTTACAGAGCATACGTTTTTAATGTTAATGAAGTCCAGCTTACTGATTTTTTTCTTTTCATGCATTATGTTTTTGGTGTTGTATCTAAAAGATTATCAACAAACCCAGGTCACCTAGATTTTCATCTGTGTTCTGTTCTAAAAGTTTTACAGTTTTTGCACTTTACATGTAGGTCTGTTATTGGAGTTAATTTTTGTGTAAAATATAAGATCTGTGTCTAGATTCATTTTTTTCATGTGGACGTCCAGTTGTCCCAGCACCATTTTTGGAAAAACCTGTTCTTTCTCCATTGCATTTCCTTTATTCCTCTGTCAGAGATCAAACTGACTATATTTGTGAGGAGCAATTTCTTGTCTTTCTGCTCTGGGCCACTGATCATTTGTCCGTTCTTTCTCGAGGACCACACAGTCACCCAGTCTTTTTACAGCAGCTTTCGAGTAGCTCTTAAGGTGGGTAGTCTCAGCCCTCCAGATTTGCTCTCTTTAATGTTGTGTTGCATATTCTGAGTGTTTTCCTTCTCCATATTAACTTCAAAGTCATTTCGTTGATAACCATGAAATAATTTGCTGGGATTGTGATTGGGGCTGCATCGAATCTGTAGGTCAAGTTGTAAAGAACTGTTGTTTTAGCAGTATTGTCTTCCTGTCCATGAATGTGGAATATCTCTTGATTTTTTCAGCTCTGTGAATTTTTTCATCAGAGTTTTGTAGTTTTCTTCCTACAGCTCTTGTGCTTATTTTGTCCATTTTATACCGAGGGTATTTCACTTATTTATATGGGAAATGATAGTGTGGTTTTAATTTCAAATTCCCAACATTTATTGGTAGTATCTAGGAAGCCAGTTGACTTTTGCATATTGATCTCGTATCCTGTGACCTTTAAACACTTACTGGTTTAGAAGTTTTTTTGTTCTTTGAGATTTTTCTTCATAATTATGTCATTGCAAGCAAATAGTTTTATTTCCTTCTTCCCACTCTGTGTACCTTTGGTTTTCTTTTCTTGTCATTGCATTGGCTCGAACTTCCAGTACAATGTTCAGTGGAAGAGATGAGAGGGAACATTGTTGCTTTATTCATGATCTTAGGGGGAAATCACTGAGTTTCTCAGTCTTAAGTATGTTGTTAGCTGCAGTTGTTTTATAATGTCCTTTATTAAGTTGAGGAAGTTTCCCTCTATTCCTAGTTTGCTGAGAGTTTTTATCATGAGCTGGTGCTGGATTTTGTTAAATGCTTTTCTACATCTATGGATAAGATTTTTGTTCTTTAGCCTGTTTGATGTAGTAGATTATGTTAACTGATTTTGGAATGTTAGATCACCCTTGCATACCTGGAATAAATTCTGTCTGGTCATGGTTTATAATTCTTTTTATACATTGTTGGATTTGGTTGCTAATTTTTTGTTGACTTCAGTTCTCTTCGGTTCAGTTTGCTAATTTTGTTGAAGATTTTTGCATTTATGTTCATGAGACATATTGGTCTATATTTTTTTTTTCTTGTAACATCTTTGTCTGGTTTTGGTATTAGGGTAATGCCAGCCTCATATAAGGAGTTAGAAAGTATTCCTTTGCTTCTGTTTTCAGGAGGAGATTGTGGAGAACTGATATCATTTCTTCCATAAATGTTTGGTGGAATTCACAGTGAAACCATCTGGGTCTGGGGCTTGCTTTTTTGGAAAGGTTTTTCTTTTTCTATCTAAGTTACCAAATGTGTGGACATAGAGCTGTTCGTAATATTCCTTTATTATTCTTTTACTGTCCGTAGCATCCACAGTAATAATCCTTCAGTTTTAGTACTAGTTGTTTATGTCTTCTCTTTTTTTGACTAGCCTGGGGAGAGGCTTATTGGTCTTGTCAGAGTTTTATTGGTCTTATCAAAGAATATGTTTTTGGTTTGGTTGATTTTGTCTGTTGATTTCCTGTTTTCAGTTTCACTGATTTCTGCTCTAATTTTTATTTATTATATTTTTATTTTTATTATTCTCTACTGCTTACTTTAGGCTTATATTGCTCTTTCTTTCCTTCTAGTTTTCAAAGGTGGAAGCTGGTTTCAGATCTTTCTTTTCTAATATATGCATTTAATGCTAAAAAGCTTCCTCTCAGCACTGCCTTTGCTGCATCCCACAAATTTTGATGTTGTATTTTTATTTTCACTTCGTTCAAAATATTTTCACATGTGCTTTTACATCCAGAAGCACCCGCATGTCCATGGGCAGTTGTCAGGGTAAGGGGCAGCTAACTTTCTGCCACCTTCTCAGGTGAAGTGGCAGGAGTCACACAGCCTGTTTTCTCACCATCTACCAAACTGTATTCCAGATCGGAGTATTAGCAGCTAGTCTATAAATTGAGATCGGAGTATTAGCAGCTAGTCTATAAATTGAGATCGGAGTATTAGCAGCTAGTCTATAGAAAATTGAGATGGAGTATTAACAACTAGTCTATCGGTGGGGTCAGATGTCATTAACAGCTAGTCTATAAATTGAGATGGAGTATTAACAGCTAGTCTGTAAAAGGGTTGAGATCAGATATTAACAGCTAGTCTGGCAAATTGGTCGGATATTAACAGCTAGTCTATGGGAATTGAGATCGGAGTATTAACAGCTAGTCTGTAGATTGAGATCGGAGTATTAACAGCTAGTCTGTAAACTGAGATCGGAGTATTAACAGCTAGTCTGTAAATTGAGATCGGAGTATTAACAACTGAGTCCTGTAAATTGTCTGTAAATTGAGATCGGAGTATTAACAGCTGGTCTGTAAATTGAGATCGGAGTATTAACAGCTGGTCTGTAAATTGAGATCGGAGTATTAACATCTAGTCCCAAGTTGGGTTTGAGAACTTCCAGTAGGGGTTTGTTTCTGTGCTTACCTTATAGAGCTTGAAGGGTTCTTGAGATATTCTCTCCCTTGAGGTAAGTGATCAGCCACATAGGAGTGATTCTGGCCCCTTCTCTACTTGAGACAGAAGGATGGAAGTGACACGGCTTACATATAACTTACCATGTTGGGCCGGTTCCACAGTGACATGACTTACATATGACTTGCATTGCAGGCCAGTCCCCTGCGTCATTATACTGATGGTCTAGAAATGTTTATTTCTGGGAAACCGAAGTGACTCAGGTTGTAACTTAAGCTCAGCCAGACATTCTCTTGAGATACAGAAATTATTTAGTGGCATCAAAAAAGAAAGTTTAAACATTTTAATTTCAATAATTGTTATCTTTCTTTTCTCCAGCTTATCATCACAGTAAAACTATTTTCCATAGTGTTCCTTAATTTTCACTGTCTTCTTTTTGGACCTTTCTTATTAAAGACCATAACCACGAAGCTTATTTCAGTGTGGTTATGGCCCATTCTCAGTAATGGTTAATGAATAGACAGATGGATGCACTGAGGCACAGAGGTGTTAAGTGGCTTGCAGAAGTCACACGCGTGTTTCCTCACCATCTTTCAGACTATATTCCAGATCCAAATATTCATCACTTAGGCCTATTTTGAAAAGCACTTTGCTGAATACATGTGATTGCCCTCTGCTGGCATTTCTCTGTTCTTTATCTCATTTATAATCAATGCATGCTATTTGATTTTTTGCTGATTGTTATCTACTTAGTATACATACTACAGATCAAATTCCAAATCCTATTAGAAGAGAACACAATATTAACAATAAGTTTACCTTACCGTGAGAGATGATGCAGCCACATGTGATATGATATAAAGGTGGTTTCTCTTGGGCTTCTTCCTCTTAGCACACTCATAACCAGACAGCTCTGGATGATAGATTTTTCAAGTCCAGCTCCCTTACCTCCTGTTGGGACAGCTCAGAGGCAGAGCACAGGCTCCAGGGCCACGTGGAATTCAGTGGGAGGCCCATTCCCAGGGCCCAGGCCTGAGATGCACCTGTGCTCAGTTTCCCCTCCCCACTGGCCAGAACCACTGGCTGGCTTACAGCTTCTCCCTTCAGGGTCTCCTTCTGGGGAACCCAACCTAAGCAACCTTCATTCGAGCTTGCTAAACTAAAGAAATGTTAAAGAGGCTGGGCACGGTGGCTCAAGCCTGTAATCCCAGCACTTTGGGAGGCCGAGGCGGGCGGATCACAAGGTCAGGAGATCGAGACCATCCTGGCTAACCCGGTGAAACCCCGTCTCTACTAAAAATACAAAGAACTAGCCGGGCGAGGTGGCGGGCGCCTGTAGTCCCAGCTACTCAGGAGGCTGAGGCAGGAGAATGGCGTAAACCCAGGAGGTGGAGCTTGCAGTGAGCCGAGATCGCGCCACTGCCCTCCAGCCTGGGGGACAGAGCAAGACTCTGTCTCAAAAAAAAAAAGAAATTTTAAAGAATATCTGAGCATTCAGGTTTTTCTTTTATTGGAGGAGGGGTTGGTGGTCTCTACTGTTTCATTCATTTTGGGATCGTTTCTAAATGATTGCAGTGTAGCTATGGAAATCGTGGTGTCATCCACCTGTCTCCTCTGATAATTGTCTAGACATACATAGATAGAGCTCCACAGAGAAAACCAGCATGTATTTTATAGCTGACACCGTTAAATACTTCACAAGAAATAAAGGGATCTGTCATCACTTCTGCTGGGACATCTGCGACGCCTTCTTCAAGTGTGCCAAGTATGATTGCGTGCTCAGTTATGCAAACAAACTCACTCAGCGCTGATTGGATTCCAGGCTCCATGGTCCCCTTCTCGATGCGCATCTTGCACGCGGAGCTTCAGCAGTACCTGGGGAACCCACAGGAGTCGCTGGATAGACTGCACAGGGTGAAGACCGTCTGCAGCAAGGTAGGTGGCGCTGTCATTTTTCCCCGCCACGGGGAGAGCACATCCTCCACGCCCTCCCCACAGGACGTGCCTGGGGTGTTCCCTGCCCATCCTGCCCCGTGCACCATGGCTGCTTCTGCCTTCAGAAGGTTAGGTGACCCAGTTTGTGTGGCCTGGTAGTCATGGCTCTTGCTGAAATATTTTTTAGGGATGGTAAGAGTTTCTAGCAGAGCTTAAGTCCTGTAATTCTTATTGCCTGGTACTATGAGAAGCCAAAAGGCAGAGACCTCTTTCTTGCCAAGGCTGCCAGCTAAAACTTCAAGGTCAGTGTGCCAGACCACTCCTGTGTCCCACAAATGCTCACACGCACCTGCCATGTGCAGACACAGGTGGTGCCGGAGCAGTACTGAAAGCAATCATGGTTTAAGCTTTCAAATCAAAGTAAGTGGTACTGCATTATGGCAACTGTCACTCATGATCCTGACTGCAAAGGCAGAGTCAGCATGTTTTTGGACTCATTCTCGGTTGTGAAGTCACAGATAATGTGGGAGCCCCCAAAGCGGCACATTATTACACTAACTGACATTGGGAAGAAATGTGGGACTCAGGGACTTTGCTGTCTACAGGCTGTAAGAGATTATTCATCTCAGATTAGGAATGATCCTGCCTTTCTGCCCACGTCACAGTGGTCCTGTGTAGGTTCAATGACATAAGGTATCAGAAGTACTTTGAAAACTACAACAACAAGCAGTTATTAGGAGCAGCAGCATAGTATGACTTTTGGAAAAACGAAGATTCTTCTTGTCGAATTCCCCCTTTCACTTCCCAGCTGTTGTGATGGAAGTTTTGTGGAGTTCCGAAACGGTGGTGGTGTCAGTGTTCCTAGCGAGGAAGGAAGGGGCCCTCCTTGTCTGTGGAGAAAATCAGGCATTTCTAGGCACCTCATTGCCCTGGGCTTTGCACCCACTTCCATTTTTTTAATACCGTAACTTACAAGATAAAAAGATTGTTTGCTTTTTATACTATATATATAGTATAGAAATTGTTGATGGAGAATCATGTTACCAACTGTTTTACATTTCAACACTTTTCTTGAATCTTAAAACGGGGTTTAGTTTTATTTACAGAAATCGGAAGCACGTAACTTGAAATAGGGAAATTCTAAATCAGCGACTTTCTAAACTGTACACGAATTTTTCGTTATCCTCCATGTCACATTGTAGGAAACCTTTATGGTATTGAGAGAGAAAATCCTGGGCCGTAGGATGATTGTAGATGGAAAAGCCAAGTTAGTTGAAGTAGTTTTGCAAGTCAGCTTTCCTGGTCCTAAAGTATTTCCTATTTCAGTATTATGCTTCTTAAATGCATACTACAGGCTGGGTGCAGGGGCTCATGCCTGTAATCCCAGCTCCTCGGGAGGCTGAGGCATGAGAATCACTTAAACCCAGGAGGCTGAGGTTGCAGTAAGCCGAAATCAAGCCACTGCACTCCAGTGTGGGCAACAGAGCAAGACTCTGTCTCAACAAAGAAAAAAAAAAACTGCATACTACAGTGTAGCAATCAGGGGAGCCACTTAGCACTAGCTGTGAAGCAGCAGGGACAGTGGAGCAGAGAGCAGGAGCTTCCCACACCGCTGCTCCAGGCACCTGCACCCACTCCACCCGACAGACTCCTTTGTTGCATTCATTATGAGCCAGCCACTGCTCTGAGTTCCAACATTAGCTCATTTAATCCTTATCACAACCCTATGAAGGACATGTTGTTATCCCAGTTTACAGATGGGGAAACTGAGGCATGGAGAGGTTAGCCAACTTAGGATCACATGAGTTGAACCCAAGTCATCTGGCTCTAGAGTCTATGCTCGTCATCACTCGCCTGCCTCCATCACTGTAATGTGTCCCATTTGAAGGGAGAAGGACCGAGAGTCCTCTCTTCCTTCTGCACCAGCATTTCTGCTCCAAGGAAGGACAGTGCTGTCTGGGGTCAACTGATATCTGCTCAGAAGTCCCCTGTGCTTCCCCCCAGCTGATGCCTGAGATGGGCTCGAGCCTGTGCTCTGCTGGCTGGGCCCTCCTGAGACTCTTGCGGGGGCTTCCAGGCAACAGCAGTTGACAGCTACGCATTGAGGGGTTGGGGAGAAACCAGAAGGATCAGTGCAGTCACCTGCTAGGAACATTTCTCTCAGGCTGACTGGGCTTGGGGCCGCCGTCAGTGAGAGAGCCACTCATGCTTCTCGTTCCCTCCGCTAGTCTACCGTTCCACCTGCCTCTCAGCGTGTGAATACATCACCACACGTCAGGCATCTCTCGTGTTTACAGATAGCATATTTTTTCTATGGCATGATCCGAATATAAGCCAGCATTCCTTGTGGTACTTAATTGAGGAAATCGCAATTTGTTCTAATCCTGGAAGAAAAACGAGCAGTTGGATTTATGAAAAGATGTGTGTTGGTCTTCACCTTAAAAGATTTTCATGGTTAATTTCAATATGTAATTACTATGTGTTCCTTTATGAGCTGACTTAAAATTTGACACCCTCCTGAGAGAGAGAGCTGCGCTGTGGCACAGCTGGTGGATGCCTGGACCACGAGAGAAAGACCCAGGGCGGGACCATGCAGTCAGCCTTGCCTCTCCGCCACCTTTGGCAGGAGAAGCACCGTCGCCAACTTCCTCACTCACTTCCTTGCACATTAAGGGCTCGTGGGAGCATGTGGGGCCTCTCCACTACCTTCCACAGGAGAAGCACCATTGCCAACTTCCTCGCTCACTTCCTTGCACATTAGGGGCTTGTGGCAGCATGTGGGCATTCTTAACCTTTCTGTGACTGGTTCAGTGTTGAGCTGAAGCTTGTTCATTTGTTCACGCAGCAAATGTCCATTCAGCACCTACTGAGTACTGCACACTGGCAGCTGGGGACTGAACAGAACACAGCCTTGCCCTCAGTGAGTTTACAGTTTGGTAGACGATGCTTGTTTCACCTGTTCCTTTTAGGTTTGCAGCCATCACCAATACATCATGATCATCCAGAATTTAAACAGGGACAGTTTGTGTTCATGCTAGAATTTCTTTACTCAAGAAGTGTGTCTTAGTCCATTTGGCATTGCCGTAAAGGAATACCCGAGGGTGAGTCATTTATAAAGAAAAGGTTTCTTTTGGCTCACACTTCTGCAGGCTGTACAAGAAGCACAGTGTCAGCATCTGCTTCTGGTGAGGCCTCAGGAAGCTTTTTTTTTTTGAAACGGAGTCTCGTTCTGTCACCCAGGCTGGAGTGCAGTGACGCTATTGGGTCACTGCAACCTCCACCTCCCAGGTTCAAGCAGTTCTCCTGCCTCACCTCCTGAGTAGCTAGGATTACAGGCACCCACCACCACACCTGGCTAATTTTTGTATTTTTAGTAGAGACAGGGCTTAACCATGTTGGCCAGGCTGGCCTCAAACTCCTGACCTCAAATGGTCCACCTGCCTCGGCCTCCCAAAGTGCTGGGATTACAGGCATGAGCCACTGCGCCCGGCCAGGAAGCTTTTAATCCTAGTAGAAAGCAAAGGGGAAGCAAGTATGTCACACAGTGAGAACGAAAGTGATAAGTGAAGAGGAGGAGGAGGAGGAGGGAGGCACCAGAGTTTTTTTTAACAATCAGATCCCAAAGTAACTAATGGAGCCAGAACTCATTCATTGCCATAGGGAGGGTACCAAGCCACCCATGAGGGTTCCACCCCCAGGACACAGACACCTCCCACCAGGCCCCACCTCCAACACTGGGGCTCACATTTCAACATGAGAGTTGGAGGGGATGAATGTCCAAACTCTACCATAGTGCAAAAATCTGAAAATACTAAAAGCCAGCCCACCACTGTTCTGCCAGTGTTGATTTGGTGGATTAAAGTGAACAGCTTGGTGTGGCCTTCGATCCTCTCTGCTCTCCACTGGTGAATAAAGAGAGAGGGCAGCCCAGAGACTCTCCAGGGTTCTCCAGCATGACTGTTCTGATTTTCCCAGACCTTCATAACTCCAGGAAATCCTCAGGAAGTCTTAAACTAAGGATGTGTCAGCGAGACTGCTCCCTGTGTGGACTGCTCTTTGTGCCTTGTTGAAAGCATTCACCACACCTGCCCCAAACCACACGCGCGCACACAGCTCTGCCTGGGACACGCACTGAGGTGCTGTCACGTGTTAACGCCGCGTGGGTGTGTGCTGGATGCGTCATGTTGATTTCCTACTAATGCCCACAGCAGCTGCAGGTGACTTTACTATCCTCGGTTCCCAGATGAGGAAGGTGGCCTTAGGGAGGTGAAGTATCCACCAGACAACTGCAGTGAGGCAGTGAGAGAGCCTGGCTGAGCCCCACCACGCAGCTCCAGAAGCCTCACCCTTGACCACCAGTCTGCGGTTCTCTGTGAATTAGACCATCAGGATTGGGGTTTTTTCCTCCAAATACAGACTTTTCTCTGCTGCCTTGTAAAGCAGGGGCTCTAAAGTTTGGTGTTAAGCATCACTTGAACAGTTCCAGAAATTTTAGCAATCCCAACCGCACTTGCTCCTCAGTAGGTTCAGGGAACTGTGAACTCTTCCAGTGGGTGAGGAGAGTCAAGCAGAGTGAAAAGAAATGAGTCTAGAATGTTAAACATTATTTCCTTTGGTGCCATTTTCTGTTAGCTCCTCCTCCCGCAGCTTACCCTCCTTGGCCTGCGCCTCTGGCCCTGGTCTTCAGCTCCACCTCAGGCTGCTAAGGGAAGCTGCGTGGGGAAGCCACCGCTGCCATTCTGCATGAGAATTTCCAGTGACCACGCCTGAGCCGGCCATACCCAGGCCGAGCCCTGGAGTCCTGGATGGCCCTTCCTCTCAGGTCTTCTCGGGGCGCTTGAGCAGGCGGAGGCCAGTGCTGGGGCTGCAGTCGGCGGCTGTTGACTGGCCCAGAGCCTTGACGCTGATCTGAGATGCTTAATTCAAGGATGTTCTACAAAATGAGATAGTTGTTTGTAGAAAGAAAGCAGGTATTTGGTTCCTATTCCCCAAAGAACTCT